GGAGGCTGTTCCACAGATTGATCCTCTGAAGACTGGGAATTTTTTTCTGATTCTTATCCCGAATTTATTTATGGCCAGCTACTCCATTTGTTCTTAAACCAACATTGTCCATTAGCTTAAGTAGCACTTCTCCTTCACCAATGTCCCCCTTCAGTTCTCCCTTCTTTTGGCCAACCCCAAGATGCATTTAGAGCCTAACTTTGCTGGGGTAAATGAGCCAAACTTTTAAAGTCCCCTCCTGTGGTGCAGGCTTTCTGTTTTCTTGATGCCCTTTCTGTTTTCCAGTCGAAACGACCCTGTCGGAGCACAGGAGGAGATCACCAGAGCATTTGCCACCGCTGGCAAGCTGGGCAAAGAGGCACTCAGCCGAAGACGTTGCCTGGCCCAGGCCGATTGCTGCATCTCCCTCATTTGGGGTTCCCATTCCCCGGCAGACAGACAGATGGTCTGGGTCGTGTCAGCCAACACCTGCCCTGTTTGGCCAGGCTTGGCTGAGGGGAGAGCCCCCGTGCTGGTGCGGTGCCTGTGGTCCGCGTGACCGGAGGGATGGCTTGGACAGTGTGGGGGGGGAGCAGAGTGATGCCATGCAGCCACAGCCCTTAGCTCAGGGTTTGGGAGGGGTGTTTTCCTTTGGAGCAGACCCCATGTGGTCTGTGTCACTGTGAGGTAGGACCCCGCATGTCCTCGAGGGACTGGATTCTCATCAGGTGTGTAGTAGTACCAGGTGTAGTCTCCAGGCACAGGGTTTCTTTGCTTGCGTGGGTCATGAGCCACTGTTGAGTTGTGCATCCAGTGCTGCCATTACCTGTTCTCGAATTTGTGCTTGCCACCACTGCTAAAATCGATTCATGTCTTGTTACTCTGGCTCTCCCCCTGTGTATCAGGAACAGGAATCGCTGTTGATTTCAGATAGCATTTGATAAAATAGTGTTTTGCCAGGTAGGCCAGCATTTTGCTTCAAACATGGCCCTTTTTATGACCTTTTCACACACACACACCCCCAAATGGACAGTATTACAGCGAGAGTCTCAATTTACTGCAGAAATAATTGAGTGCACTGACACGTTTTAATAGGAGAGATTTCAGAGTATCCTAGTGCAGATCTGACAGTTGCATCTGGCCTTACATCTTGTTCTTTGCCAGCAGGGTAGTCCCTACTCTACTGCCACGCTAATTAATCAGCTCAGCACTTTGTTGGGATCATTGTGTGGGTTTCAGTTTCACAAAAGTATTTGCTGACGTGGATTTTTAGCTGTGAAGTAACTTGACAGTGCACATTTCCAAAACAAAAGCCTGAAACCTAGAATCTAAACAGAAGCAGATTTAGAAACATGTGCACACTACTTCAGGAGAAAAAATACGTGCTGTGACTGAAATCCATACAGCTACTGAAATCACTTACTCCTTGCTTTTGAATTCTACTTCAGCACTAGCTAATGAAATTTCTCCAGCCTTTAAGGTTAGACTGTAGAATGGTGGGGGGGTTATTTATTATTTAATACTACTCTTGTCTGTCCTAGCTTCACCTAATACCTGAATTGCTTGGGTTTGATTCTTTGTTCGTGTGGGTCAGACAAGACATAAGGAGTGCGAGAAGCCATCAGCCTGCGAAGCAGTCCCACACCATAGATGGCATACTGCTAAGTGCTGTCTTAGTTCAAGTGCATCGTGCTGTGTCTCATGAAAGTCATAGGGCAGAGATGATGATACATGCCTTAATGCATGTGCTTCCTCGCCTGTATGTATTCTTGCTGTTCTTCCTTCTCACTCAGAACAATAAATGGTATTTCTTGCACTAGCTGAGCTGCATGGATGCCAAAAGGATCACCACAGACTGCAATTTGAAGATGCAGCCTCCATTAAATGGACTCTGAAATGTTGCAGTGCGTTCGTCACCACCCAGTTATGGGGAGAGACAGGGGGACGGGACAGTCACCACATAGCACTGAGATAAGGAGATAATGGCATTTTAAGGTCTGCCCTGGGAAAGTGGTGAACACCTGCAATTTCCATTGAGATCAAGGAGAAGTACAGGTGCTCAGCAATTCTCTTGCGGGTCGCCTTTTAAACAAATAACTTTTCACAAAACTTTTTCACAGTCACCTTTAGAAGCAGAATCTCCATTACCAGGCACTTTCAGTTCCTCTGATTTTCCTGGCGGCTTTGCATTACAGGGATTCGTGGAAATCGAACGAGGTGAAGGTTGCAGTCAGTCCTGTCTAGAAGCAACCAAATATAACCTGGGACTGTTATGCACACACATTTGGGGGTATTTTTTTAAGTAAATGGAATTGGAAGCTCCAAAGAAGTGGTGTGAGCCTTTTGCACATGACTTTATAGCATTCTGTTTGAGTTTACAATAAAATGAAAAGCTGTTCAAATGTAAACGTATGTCTCCTCATTTTGTGCAAGCTCTACTGGAGCAAGCTCAGCTTGCAGCCCCTTCCGGTTCTTCCCTCCTTACTGATGGGATATGGGGGGGTGAGCAAATGCCTGTGCGGGTGCTTACCTGCTGGTTGAGGTGAACCCACCACACCCAATATTCTGGCATTTTAAATAATCTTGAGCTTAAGACACTGCTTGAAAAGGAAAAAAAACAAACAATCCAACAATATTGAGCCTCAATCTTTAACCAGCGTCTTCCCTTAACAACTTCTTGCTTATAGTAGTACATAGAAGTTATGAAGCACTTCCCACTTCCTTAGGATTTTAAAAGTGTTCAAGCAAATTAAAAGCCTACATCCCGCAAAGAATGTTTATGAGCATACTTTGGTGTTCTCCTAAATTCCTGAGTGAGTCATAGATGAAAATGGATCTTAGGCTGCCCAGTTACTGTGTTGCAGTTAGACCTCACAAGAATCCTGTGAAAAAATTTATTATTAAAATAATATTTCCACCTGAGAGGTGGTGAGGCTGAGGCAAACTTGTCTACTGATTTGTGCCTTTCTGCTAATGCCAGATGAGTGACTACCTGTTCCTGACTGCACTGAGTTGCTTGACTGTTGTTTTACCCCATACAAAGATGGAGAGATAAATGCTGTGTTTGTTTTCATGGTGTGGGAAAAGGTGAAGCAGGGTCTGAAAATAATAGAGGGGTAGGTACCTAGATGAGGAATATTCATTAGCTTGCACAATGCTTTTATCCTTGCCTTCACTCATCAAAACTCTTTGAGCACTGGTGTTCTTCTGCGTCATTGCTGTAGCACTGTAATAGGGAAGAAGAAAAAACACCCAAGGTAGCTGAGACTAAAGGGCATGAGCTGGTGAAGGGGTGAAGTTGCCTTCCCAACCTTAGTTTTCGATGCTAAAGAGTCAGGACTTCGACTGCCACATATACTGCGCTCGGAGGGATGTGAGGGCCAAACAGTTCAAGGATGCCTGAGCCTTATCCACGCCCGCTGGCACAGAGCTGCCGTGGCTTTGGTTTCTTGTCACGCTGATGACAGATAATGCCATAGCTCCCTGGAGGAGCGTGACTTCCCTTGCCTTCAGCATGGTCTCTGCACACAGAGCCAGGGCCTGGGAGGGACATGCTAGACCAGGAATCAATAGCCCTGCCCTGCACCCAGCACTGGGCATGCAGGCAGCCGGGCACACAATAGCCCACTCCACCTCTGCTGCCTGTTCCCAGCTTTGACTCCTCTGCTGAGATTGTGGGCTTCCCGGGGCAGGCACAGTCCTGTGCAGTATGCGGTGTGCTTGCCATCGGTGGCTAGGGAAATACGCACAGCTCCCAGGCTGGCTGGGGTCCCCAGGTGCCACAGTAAGAAATATTTGCTATACTTGGTAGTATATACAATTATATGCTCAAAGAATTAAAATAAAAAAGAAAAAAAGATGCTGTAGAGCAGTTTTGACCAAGTCCTACAGCTTACATTGGCAAAAATTGCAGGGCTTGGTAGCTTTCCTGTTCAAATACTGACCTGAGCAATGAGGGTCTTTTATTAAAAGGTTGCCATGTACTGTTGTAGGCTGAACTTCTTTCACCTCTGCTGTCTAAAATCCTGTTTACAGAAACATGGGTGTGTGGGCGTGATAGCTGTTCAGTCAGCCTTTGCTTCTGCAGTTGACTTTCAGGCACCCTGTTTTGCAAGATGAATATCCTCTTAATAAAAGTAACCTTGTGTGCATTCAACTCAGCTTGCATGTGGGTAGCTGAAAGCAAGTTGAAAATGGCTTTGCCGATAGGACAAGCAGACTGTAAAAAAAAAAAAAATCTTAAAATAGCATACAAAATATTAACAAACATTTTCTGCACTCAAGTTGTCAGGAGATTGTGTGACTCTTTCCACATTAAGAAGGGAGTTTCTCAAACAGTTCAGCAGCCGAATGCCAGCGGCTGCGCTATGCAGAACGCTTCCCCTTCCCAAGGCAGCTTTTGCAACAGCTGAATGAAGGATGTGGTGGGTGTTTGCGTCTAGAGGTGCGCACCAGCAGGCAGCAACAGGGAGAAGTTCAGGTGGGACCTCTTTAGAGACAGCCATGTCCTGCACGTGGTCTGTGTTCCCTCCTCGAAGGGGCAGGTCTGGGTTTTGTGGGTGAGTGCCTCGTTTCGGGTAAAACATCCTCCCTGTGCTGACACTTGCTTTGTCTGCGTTTTGCCTGCAGTGGCTGAGGAACCCCGGCCCCCAGCACGAGAAGCGGACTCTCTTTGGAGACATGGTGTGCTTCTTGTTTATCACTCCGCTGGCGACCATCTCTGGCTGGTTGTGCCTACGAGGAGCGGTGGACCATCTGCACTTTAGTAGCAGGCTAGAAGCTGTCGGCCTCATTGCACTCACTGTCGCACTCTTCACTATTTACCTCTTTTGGACCCTAGTAAGTATTGGCTTTCTATTCAACTCACAGGAATGAAGGAAAGACAAATCAGAAAATCAATTACGCAGACTGCTATAGAGTGGGTGGACTACTGTTCAAGGCATTGCTTATATTTACCTTCTGTACTGATAAATTCAAGTTACGTCTGCAAGAAGCCTGTTGGTTCCACACCATCCAAGTTCTCTGGAAAACCAGAAAGACAGTTTGCCTTTGGGGTCAGTAATTCCCAAATCCCAAATGCCAGAGGGGATAGCAAGAGGGAGACAAGGAAGTAACATGGAGGGGTTCGAGATACATGCTACAGGAGGGAGTTTCCTCAAAGATAAGTGTGCAAACAGTGAAGGCACAGTGCACAAAAAAAGCTTTAGGTGAACAACCTGCGACAGACGATTCAGATTTTATTCTAATCCAACACCTGGCCAGTTTTGCAATTCAAAAGCTTTGGATGCGGGTGCATCCCACGCTTTCCTCATTCCTCTTGCTGGTGGTGCTGTAGAAAGTCCACGACAGAGCACACCTTACACCTAGTTCTGTAGAAATACAGCTGCTTTTGCAGTGCATATTAAATAGCTGCCTTATTCCCGTCATGCAGCCAGGCGTGCTGTCATTTGCATGTGGATCCATCATAAAAGCCACTTGTTTTGTGCCAAATTACTGAACTGCAATCAGTTCCTGGCCCCAGCGCGCCAACAAAGGGTTGCCCCATGAGAAATGAAGTGAACCCAGAGGACAGCTGCCAAAATAAGTGTTCATCAAGCTATGGTCTAGCGGTTCACTGAAAATCCCAGGTGACTGTTGACTTTGACATTTCACACCTCTAGCTTTGGCTGGGGGGGGGGAGGAGAACAGGACAGCGGACGCAGACACGGAGCATTCACCCTGATGGGGTAGTGCTTGTGCAATGGTGCAAGGCCGTGCTGCTGTGAGAGGAAAAGCTCATCTGAGCCTGTGCTGCCCTGCACGGGGGCAAGACCACCCTGCCTGTGGTGCTGGCATGGCCACTGAGCCCACAGGGCCAATGCCCAGCTCTGCCCCTCAGTGGGTAAGGCCACATGGTGTACGGCTGACCCCTTCCAGCAGTTTTTGATCAGTATAAGCTGCTGAGGAGGAGGAGGCACTTTAACAACTACATTAGTAGAGCAAGAAACCCCTGTGCTGAGCCCCGAGTAAGCGTGAAAGAGGGGAGATGGGGGAAGACACAAAACCCCCACACTACCTACCAGCTAGCTCCCAGACAGCTGTGAAAGGTAACATCTCATTTACTTCATTCCTAACAGTGAAACCCTGTCTCATCCACAGAGGACTGCTGGCTAATTTTAGCAGCCTCGACGGTAGGGGAAGTTCAGAGTTTTGCCTCAGCCTCCTCCTGCAGTTTCTCCTTCTGTTGCTCCCGCTTCTGTTTTCTGTGAAGCAGCAGCAGCAGCAGCAGCAGTGAGCACTCCCCTTTGAGAGGGGGGCCATTGGCTCCCACGGCGGG